AGCTGCGTGGCCGGCCCCGCCCGGGAGACCTTGGTCCTCAAACTCATCGGCACCGACAACCGGCTCATCGCGCCCCCGGCCCCCGGGGAGCGCTCCCGGGGACCCCCGGCCCCGGGCCAGGGCCGAGCTGACACTCTGGGGGCCACCTGGCAGGCCATGAGGCAGATGTGGCAGAACCGCAATGAGCTGGATGGGGATGAGGGCCAGGTCCTCCGCGCCCTGCTGGGGCCCTGCCCCCCCGGCCATGCAGGCTCCCCCGGGTCCTGGGAGCTGCAAGGCGAGCAGTTTGAAGCCGCCGTCCGGCAGGGCGCCTACAGCATGGACACGGCCCGGTTCGACGAGCTGATCCGGTTTATAAAATAGTGAATCTTTAAAGTAAGAAAGTTTGAGCTTGCAAAACAAGATGCATTCCTGTGTTGCTAACCCTTTTCCATGGTAAATAAAGCTCTGCGGGGTTGGGTGGGGGAGTTTGGAAACATGTTTCCTTTGGTCTCTGGTTCAACCGGTGTTCACCTATAAGCAGGTCTCACATAAGTTGTTTAAAGCTCCTCCCCACCCCCATCTTAGCAATGAAAACTACTCTGTTGTTTTCTTTTCCACATGAAAGTTTATTTATGGTGATGACTCCATAAGAATAAAAAGAGGACTCCAGATAAATCTCACATTATCAGTGGTTTGGAACTTGTACTCCACCAACAAGACCTGAAGTGACAAGTACACTTTGGAAGAATGAAGCTATCAAAGGGACCGCAGCCGGTGAGGCGGCGGCAGCCCCCGTCGGTGTCATTCAATGCGACCGTCCGTGCCACGATGGGGAGCGCAGTGTACGTCACCAACAGGACGGCGGCCGTCCACCTGCTGTGCCAGCTGGCCCGCCCCGGCGAGGTCGCCTACGCGTGGACCAAGGACGGGGTGCCGCTGCAGCCGTCGGAAAAGTGAGTCGGGGGACCCATTGCTTCCTTCCACGAGGCCTGTGTGCCTCCTGTGTGTGTCTGTGTGATGGAAATCTTTGTCTCCTGGTGAATTGCTGGGGTCCAACCCCAGCAGGTCCAGGGGTCCCCAAAGGTCTGGACAGAGTCGGCGAAGAAGGAATGACACGGAGACAGCGTTCAGTTGATCAGCAGCCTTCCCAGGATCTCTAGCCACAATCTCCAGCCAGGTTCTGTATCCATGTTCTCTCGTCTAGGTTCTCCAGCCAGGTGCTTTATTCTCTTGTCTGTCTTCTTTAATCCTCACCGACCCCCCTCAGGTTCACCCCTGGCCGTGCTAACTACCCGCCTGGCACTTAGTGAAGGGGTTTTATTCCCTCCCTGACTTCAGGGGAAAATCCCTACCTGGGGAAACAACCTTTCTCGGAGAGGTGACCTTGGTTAAAACACATAGCGCCAAGAAGGTGAGCAAACATATTAAGAACAGTACGCCATATATGCCAGCTCCCTTGAAACAGCAAGGATGGACCGGCTCCCGGCAGCGAGTGAGATAGGAGATGGGATGGGGAAGCTCAGAGAGAAAGAGAGAGAGGGAGAGAGAGAGGAACATTGACGCAGCACTGTCTGCCATTTCCACGCGTTTCACCGAAAAAGAAGGTCTTGTCCACCCTCTCTGGCCTGTGCCACCCTCTGCCCGTTGGCAGGAGGCTCGCCGGGGTCGTCTTTGGGGATCCCTGCCCACCGGTGTCTGCGGTGATGCCGTCTCTTCTCTCTGTGTGACTGGCTGAGGTCCCAGGGCCCTGCGGCGGGTCACATGACTCCCTTCGCCTCCTCTCTGTCCCCCAGGATCGTTCTGTCCGGAGCCGGGGTGCTGCAGATACGGAACCCCACAAGGAGCGAGCAGGGGCTGTACGGGTGCTCTGTGGCCAACCGGCTCGGCTCCGACGTGGCGAGCTCGCCCGTGGTGTTTGCAGGTAAGTCCCGCGGTGACACCTGGTCGCCTGGGGCTGGGTTTTTGTTTATTTGTTTGTTTTAATATAGTTTTATGGATGTCAGAGAGGAAGGGAGAGGGAGAGAGAGAAACATCCATTATGAGAATCATGGACCGGCCGCCTCCTGCACGCCCCCCACTGGGGATGGAGCCCGAAACCCGGGCCTGTGCCCTGACCAGGAATCGAACCCTGACCTCCTGGTTCATAGGTCGATGCTCAACCACTGAGCCACGCCAGCCGGGCAAGAATTTGCATTATTCAACTCATAGACGATTCTGATTGCTAAAGACTGCATGTCTTTTTTT